ATATATATATATATATATATATATATATATATATATATATATATATACCTGTATATGTTTGTGTGTGTGTGTATCATGTGCATTTTCGCTTATATTACTACCTTGAAATACCTATTCATTCAAATTCATCCTGCTGAACCATTATATTCTACCATGTTGTTGTTGACTATCTCTCTTTAGGACATTGTAAATACTTTCACACTTTTTGGTACTTTTTTGTTGTACCTGTTTGTTTGTTCTTTGATTTATATTTTTTTGCGAGTCAAATCGGTTCTTCTCATCCTAAGCATTTCATTGTACTGTTAACCCTATGTTAACCTTGCATATGACAAACAAACACAACATGAACTATGAAAAAAAAAATATCTGCTGACAGACCTAAAGAGCAATCTTCATGCTCATAGCACATTTTAGGAATTACACTTCTTCTGGCTTTCAAACCCAAATACAAAAAGATTGCAGCACAAAACTTGCAGACGAACAAAAGATGGTGGAAATATTCTTGTATCCCGAGGATGCTCATGTTTGAAGGACTCTATAAGAATTTCTCACATGCCTACGTTCCCACATCAACAGACAGCTTTAGTTACAAAACCACATGAAACCCTCCAAAGTGTCAAATGTACGTGGAGGGAGTTAATGGCAGCAGAACAAACAAACACTGTTTGCTGACACATTCTGCAGCCAATGTGTGAAATGAAGAGTGGGTGCGAAATGCAGGAGAATAGAAGCTGACATTTACTGCACATTCTCCACGAGGTAACTTTAAAAAAAAAAAACACATTGGACACTGAAGTTGTTGGTTTTTAAAATGTACAACAAAATAATTACACAGACTTGGGAAGCCATGAAAAGGTGGCGTTGTACTCTGACTCACTCAGGACAGAAAGGCTTTAAACTCGGGGCTGATCAGAAACGTCCAACTCTGACTCTGGAAAAACAAAGCTTTGTTTTCCTGCTGAGAGCCCTCATTACAAGAGTTTAGGAACCTTCCCACAAGCAAACACAGCTCCTTGACCCTCTGATGGGAGTGTACGGATGGGATGAAAGTCAGGGCCAAGCCACAGAGGCCAGCTCTAATCCTCACCGACAGCACGAGCCCTGTGAGCGTCACTTGGGACACAGATGTATGTTTTTTCTCTTCTATATTAACCGGCTTTCAATACACTATGAGCTTCTTAAAATAAATATGGAATCGAGAGACAGAGAGGGTCTTTCAAGTCATGTGTCGTATGATCACGTGCATTTATCCACAATTTTAAAATGCCGGACAGTCGTGACAAATTTTCCATGTCATGTTTTTGTTTTAATTTTCAAGGACTTAAAAAAGATTAATTTAGATCTGATTGTGGTGCTGAAAGTAAAGAAATGCATTTGTTGAAGTATACCGGTACTTGTTGCACACAGTCCTCCACACACAGAAGGAGGCAAACAGGAAGACAAATCTGTTTTTTAACACAACACCACTGACTGAAACAGTTGTCAGAAAGACAATGAAATGACTAAATTCATTGCAAAGCCAATAAGAAAAGGAGGATGTGACAGAAAACAAAGGAAACCAGCGAGTCTTTAATCATAAGGAGGAAAATGGCTGACACAGAGCAGATGTGAAGGTAAGGAACCGAGAACCAGGTGTGACAGAAAACAAGCCTAAAGGACCAGACTGAAGATTAACAAAACAATAAAATCAACCAAAGCGATCACAGCAGAACCAGATTATAAAACAAAGTGTGGTAAAGCCTCTTTACTCTCTGTGTGTACGTCAGGTTATTTCCATTGTTATGATTTAGTTGCAGATAAATCATGCATTTGTTATTACGATCAAGGTTTTTAGTTTTTAAAGTAAAATGGCCCCTAACTTATTGTGACTGGGCTAAAGTGGAATTTGAAGTGAACTGATATGGTTCAGAAATTTGAATCTGATTATAATCTGAGCTACAATTACAAATTTATTAGGTCCAGTTGAACTGAACTGGCTTGCCATCCATCCACCGGTCCACCTATCCATTATCTTCCACTTGTTCCAGAGTCAGGTGACGGGGGCAGCAGTTTGAGCAGGGAGGCCCAGACATCTCTTTCCACGGCCACCTCTTCCAGCTAGTCTCTCCAACATTTCCTGGGTCTTCCCTGGGGTCTCCTCCAAGTTGGATATG